GATTAATGTTAAATTTATTCTCCTCTTATATTGAAAATATTTAGAATTAATTATTGACTTCTTACATTTATAATTGAATGTAATCAAACTATAACAGTAATTTTCTTTGTGTTTTTTTAACTACCAACAATGTGTAAATATGAACCTACAATGGTAAGCTTTTATGTGAGCATCTGCGTTTACAACAATGTAAGAAAAAATGTTCGAATTTCTAACCCATGCCTGCAACAATGTCGCTTAAGCATGCCGTAAGGCTCTTTTCACGATTCATATACATCTAGTATAATAGCCTGAATGAACCGTATTACACTCCATCCCTTTACTAATTGTTACGTCATCTGTTTACTCTGCATTGTTGTGTTTAATTATTGCCGTCAATAATTCGATTTCGTTATTTCTGTAAGAGCTGAGCTGTGAATCGCTTGTAGAAGAAGTGCGTCGTATAGTAGATAATTTTGTGCTCTAAAAATCTTTTTAGAATATCAATTTAAGAAATCTGTGATACTACCGTCCACTCTCTCCATTTTATTTTTGATTAAATTGGTCATTGTCAGTGGACATTGTGGTCTCTTACTATTGAGCAAAGTTTGAGGTAAGGGATTCCTATTTACTATTGTTATTATTATTATTATTATTTGCAATTGTATTTTTAATTGTCTGTGATGTCGTGAGGGTTGGTGTGTAATCATTAAACATTTACGTGCCAGCAACGCCATATGGATGATCTCGTTGAATCTAGAGAACCTTACTTCTGTAATGTTGGCTACCGGAAGAATTCTGTAGCCACCTTCGTCCCCAAGGGAGGATAGCAGCTGGTTATATTTATGTCATGTTAGTGGCATCGCCCGATTTTATTTGTGCTGTCACGAACACTAAACAATTTAAGGTATAATTGCCATTGCACTAGGAGTGAATGAAAACAACCATCAAACTATCAAACAGGCTCTCATATAATACAGATGTAATATGTTTATGGGACAGTTAATAATGTCATGTAAATAGCACATTATATTATAAATGTAGAGCACCACTTGGCAGTTCGTATTGTACATCTCTGTTACCAAATTTAATAAAAATTTGTTTCACAAAAGATGTAACTTACCATCACTTCCATTATGCATTAATTTAAGCACTTTATGGTGTTTATCTTAAATGTTATCGGTTAAACTCGTTTTATTTGACACGCTGATAGTCTGCATTCAAAACAAAGAAACAGATGAACAGAGACAGCCGTGTCTGTGAAGTTTCTGTGACACGAAGGGGGACATTATTAGATTTACAAACTTAAAGACGGATTGTCCCATGTTTGTGCTCTGCTCGGACCAGTTTAAAGCCTCTGCCCACATCAAATATGTGTAAGTTCGTGTCATATAGGTAATTTGTTTTTACAGACAAAATATACGTCGCTGGTGGACTTAGAGGTATGTGTGGTTATCAAAACTCGGTGGAAGTTTATGACCCTGATACGAACAAGTGGACGTTCGTAGCACCAATGCTTTCTCGACGTGCCGGTTTCTCTTGCGTCGCGTTCCACGCCCTAGGTGAGAATTCTGGACATTCTGAGTGATGCTCCTCTATCATTTTTACAGAACTTGTTATTGTGAAATGTGTTCCTGGTTTTTCTTTGAGTGACTGAGATTTTATGAACAGCATTTTAAACCGATTCCTGGTTTCGATTCCTTTCTCCACAAAGAACACTAACTAATAACGCGTAATCTCTTGTGGTATCACAAGTAACTTATGCCCCATTTGTCAAACAATCCCAGTTTTAAAGGTAAATATTTTGTTCTTGTAGCAAGGAAATTTCAGTTTGCCGTGCTGTTATCTCCAAAAAGCCGGTGGTTTAAAGCAGTTCCTTCGCAGTCTTTGCTTTTCGCACGTAGTTTCATGAAACAGAAAACAGATGTCAGGCACAATTTCCTGATGCTACAAGTACGAAAATAATATTGTAGGTATTTGATCATTAATTTCGTTCCTGGTACTAATACTAACACTGCAAAAGGGAATCGATTTTCTTCGTTGTATTTCATTCATTCGTTCCGTTTACGGAATTACAAATTTTGAGATCGTAAAGTCTGTTGGGTAAGACCTGTTCAGTGTGAAGCATTGAAGTTACGAGAAGTACATACATGTAGAAAGTTATAATTGGTGATCTTGAAGGTAAGATACCACTACATAGCTTTAAAAGGAAGGATAATATTAAAATGTTTTTAAGGAACTAGAGTATGTGAGAAGAGTTCAAGTACCGACTTTTGTGAATAAGGTAATGAATCTTGTGTAACATTTTATTACCAGGTGACAGTAATAAATATCAAGAAGGGCCCCGCTGAATGGGGTTAGAATAAGTTTCGTTTGGCAGCTTTTCTTATATACTGTAACCTATTGTGGAATTTGTGTGTGTGCAGGAGGAAGAGACAAAGACGAATACGGAGACTCAAACGAATATGAAGACCCAGACGAAGACAGAGACGAAGACCCAGAAGAAGACGAAGACTCAAACGAATATGAAGACTCAGAAGAAGACGGAGACTCAGACGAATACGAAGACGATGACGGAGAATCAAAAGAAGATGAAGACTCAAACAAATACGAAGACTCAGACTCAGACGAAGACGGAGACGAAGACGGAGACGAAGACTCAGACGAAGACTCAGACGAAGACGGACACGAAGATGAAGACGGAGACGAAGACTCAGAAGAAGACTAGCCCATTTTTCTACATTTTCGAAGAAGGTCCCATGCATGGGTTTATCTGCATGTTGCTTGAGCAACAAAGTTTGCTCAGCCTTCTTAATAGTGCCCTTGAATTGATCTGACGTCAGTGTTAAGAGGGGAAACTGTCTTCGCCGTCCAACTGAGCTGATGTCGAAGTCAAATTCGAGGTCATTTGCTGCTCTCTTTGCCGCCTGAAATATAAACCGCCTTTAAAACCTCAAATTCCTTTACATATTTTATGTAGACCGTTACGTTTCGAGTTAAGTATACTATCACAGACTTTCCTCTCGGATATTTACTGTACCAGAATATTTATTGTAATCAACATTGTACAAGCTTTCCTACAGTACAAATATTGCATAAACCTACACTCATTCGGATTATGAGGGGGTCACATGTGTAAAACTTATAAGAATTTATGTTTCGTGAGGCGACTACATGTCCTTTCGATAGACCGATCCCACGAATGATGAATACTTTTAAACACGCAAAGGACTTGCCGTTTTAAAATTAATTTTAAATCGCAACAGCTGCAAGATTTAATCTGTAAAATCATAATCTATACGGAATAAGAAGAAACTATTTTATGGAGCAGTGTGGCTTCTTTCTTGTTTATTAGCTTTGTTGAAAATAGAACGTGTGACTTTAGCGGATAGCATCTGAAAGCTGTCGACGACAAATTTAAGTCTGCAAAGAATAAATATCAAAACCATTGTTGACTTCAAAACAGCAATGCACATGTTTAAAAGTGGGCAAGCTGAACTCATTTATTAAAAGTTCTGTCCAATTTTAACAGCTGTTCAGACGAAATGTGCTTTAGGACTGCTTCCTGCAATATGTGTGGTTCTTATAGCAGAATGTGATGTCAAACTAGGAGGGAACGGAATGTGGCATGTGACAATAGGTTATGCGCTACTCGCTTGTAATTTCCTGGGAAAGTCAATGAGAATATTTTATCAACAACTTTCTATTATACTTGATATTGCATTTTTCCCCATATTCTGTAAATCTTCATATCGTTTGAGTTCGTTTTAGTCACAATGTTACAAAATAACTCCCTCAATGGTATCTCTACCTTGAAGCCTTTGTGCGGGTGAAGGAGCTTGCGTGTACCAATGACCCGAAGAGCTGGTAGTTTAACTATTGGCAGGGTCTCCCAAGCCGGACATGTCAACGGGTAGGTACCTGACTAAATCAGATACCTTGGTCCTCCAGGTTGGAGGTTTTGCGTAAAGTTGGTACCCTTATCATATGAAACAAATTCTACTCACAAGCTTCAAAAGAGGATTTCATCGGATGGAAATAACGGAATTTCAGTTACAAACCCAGCGGAAAAAGAGATCGAGGTCGACCACGAAGAAGATGGAAAGGTAAATTTGAAGCCGGAACAGGCATTAGTGCCTAATTCCTGACGATGATGATGATATTACTGAATTATATTATTTTTAATTTCGATTTCAGTTCAATTTAGCTGGAAAATAATTCAAGTAGAAAGGCATTTATAGGTTTCGAATGCTGTAAGGGCCATAATTTAACAGTTACTGTCTTTGAAAAACATTTAACTTAAAAATGAAGTGAAAAGTTTCGAGTTTGGTCGAAAGGCTTAGGTCTGGATCTGACAATTATTTCAAGCCCCCTATGACAGTTTGGCTTCGCGTTGGTTGGAGAAAGAATTGTCCTAAAGGACAAAGGAGTTCTGGTCCGTGTCTCCAACTAACGAAAGCTTAAAAGTTAAGACGCCAGCCAATCTGAGATTTTTAGAAAGGTGAGGATTCATAATTGTTAGAGCCTAATTAGTATACACCAATCATACGTGAGGGATTTCAAACCTAGCTAGAGTAAGGGAAGGGGATTTGGAAGCAGCAATCCCCTAAGCCTTGCAAAAAAACACCCAAACTTTTGCTACCAATAAGTAGTACTGAGGATAGAAGCGTGTCCACCAGCTTGTAGAAAGTATTACAAAAAGAAATTTCTTATATAAATACTTGATTAATGTAATAAATTCACTTAAGCAGTTATATTTCTGGTAAAGTTAATCCTAGGTTATTTCGGCAGTAGAGAGTCGAGTGTTATGAATATTCACATCTAGCTCTGACAAACTCTGAACAAATAGGTTTACATTCTGTGGTAAGGAGTATATAATTCCAAGAACTTGTGACCTGGCGAGATGTATTATTCAGTTTCAACAGATAGTCAAATAACAAATCTGGTAAATAACCAAAATTCTTTGTTTTGATTCCTTATCCGTCTATTCTGGCTGTAATTCAGTTTCGATTAACGCCACATACTGCCGCCATACGCCATCGTCTCAACTTTGAGATTACTCTTGTTCCACCACTGACCTTAGCACGGGACAAAACTGTCCTTCTACCTCAGTAGTGATCAAGGGGATAGGCAGTTCTTGTTATATATAATTTGAGCGTGTTTTCGTTCAAATTCGACGTGTCAGAAAAAATAAGTGTGAGATATATGAAGGAGAAAATTTGGGGAGGCAACGAAACGGGAAGTATAATTTCCAATAACAGATGAAAATATAATATATATATATATATATATACATTCTTGAATATCCCAACTGATATTCTGAACATTTTTAAAATTAGTAATATTATTACAATAACGCTGTGTAATATTGTTGGTTGCTTTATGTTTTTATTTTTTTGTTTTAATTCTCTATATTTTTTCTTATTTCCGCTTTCTCTTCCATTTATTATTTCTGTCTTGCTCTCACTCGATTTCTTATAAAAGCAGTGGTGGAGGTTAGTCTACGCTATCAGAAATTATAAAGAAATTGCTTTTGTCTCCATACGCTGTAACACAGCAGAACAGATCAGATAAAATGCATCGTTAGGCAGTTCCAGCCAGCTACGAGCTGTTACGGAATGATTATTAGCGGAAAGAGAACTGAGAAAGATTTTTTTATTTCGACTTCGTCCGTTACAATCACAATGGAAAATATTTTCTGACTGTACAGTGTGGCATCTGAAGTAAAATGAGCTTTGCGCCAGTATCTATAAATGTGTAATGAATTAATATCATGGAAAATGATATACCCAGCATCGCAAAGAAAGCAAGAGGGACTATAAGTTATGTAATAAAGAACAAACCCAACTAGTAATTAAAAACGAACATTATCCAAACAATGGACCTCATGATCGGGACGTCCTGATGATTGCGTACACGATTCAAAGCTCATGGTTCGATCATAACTGTCCTCGCTCACTCACTCACTCACTCATTCTCTCTATGGTGAATGATATTATTTAAAATATGATTGTTTATTCAGCTTATCAAAAAATATCCCTCTTAAAATACTTTCAGTATAAAGACAAATTAACTGAAGACGGAAATGGAGCGAAATCTCGAAACGTGTGCACAGAATCTACTCCAGAAATAGACAATATCTTTCGTAAGTTGTAATAAAGCGAGCATTGTGACAAATTTAGAAGAATTACAAGGAAGTTAAAATATAAAATATGAGGCACAAAGAATTCTCGAAGACAAGCGATTCCTTCTTTATATACAAAATCAGTAATAACGAAATATAAATGTTATGAAAACGAAAATAAAGATTTCTATTTCTAAGAAGTTCTGCTTTCCGTCCATAGAGCCCAGTATGCAGTAAAACCATACAAGTGACATCTTATGGTGGCTTTTCGAAGTATAGCTGAACGGAATCGACTACCAAGGATCGATGCACTGACGTTGCCCGTGGCAACTTGTTGGTGCTGCCTCTGACGATGACTTCTATTACTAATTGCTGTAAAGTAACTGGATCATTAAATAGAAATATGGATGTAATTGATTTGAAAAGCTATGTTGAACAGCAGAACTGGGGATATTCTTATTTGGAAACTGTTTTGGACACAAAGACGCTGAAAGCACAGTAGATAACAAACATGAGGACACTTATGGCTTGTACAGATTCTCAATGAATTATTTGGCCATTCACTAATAATATTCAACAATAATCGACAGTGTAACTAAACAGAAATTTGAATTTATTTACACGTTTCTTTTTATTATTTTTAAATTTGGCACAAATATAATGTTAACAGACAAATGAAGGACAGTGTAATGGCATGGCCGTGTGAGAAAAATGTTGGCACTGAAAAGATTCGATGAAGCTTCTTGCAAGACAGAGAAAGATGGTAGGATAACATTAAAATATGAGCACATTTAATATACGTCACAACAATTAGTCCAAATGTAGACAGTTGCACTTATTCGGAGGGATAGAAGATCATTTAGCTGTTACTACACAGCCGTCAATTATTCTCATTGACTGGAAATACTTTTTTATTATTATTATTTATTATTAACTGCAAATGGGTTTTTACCCGATGGCAGTGGCTTCGATACAACTAAAACAGATAAAGCAGCATTATGAATAATTAGTACGAACACAATAAATTTCAAAAATCTGTTCGTTGTTCTCAATTCGTGAAGGCACACCTTTGAAATAAATCTCATTCCATTATTTAATAAACACCTGCAGGTATTCAACATTAAAACACATAAGGGAGCCGCGGGCAGAACGGGGAACTTAATATTTTGAGGCAAGTGGAAGGGACAATAACAAAGATAAACACATGGAGGAACCTTGTGTGGATTTATTGTCTATTTGAAATTTATAATGAGTTTTCTAAGGGTTAACAGGTTTTTTAAATATTAATTTCTTAACAAAAATGTAACTTGTCCCATTTTTCCTAGTGCCCTGGGCAAGACGGAGTAAGGCTGATATATGTTTTAAAAAGTTGTAAGAAGACACAGATTATCTAATAATTATGACGTAGGATATAAAAATTAATTAATGCACAATGTAAAATGTCGAAACTTTACACATTTGAA